GAGATTAATACGTAATGTGCGACTTGTGCGTGGAGTCAGTGAGTGCGTGGTGCGGACTCCTCCGTAAATGGAGACCGAGACCAGGGTGTAGGTTTCAAATCTCAGTGATTCCTCCTGATTTAACACGGATCAGCTCATGCATCGAACACCGAGCCCTTTGGGAGCAATAAAAACTACACCATGAATGTTCAGGCTTTTTTTTTTTTTGAGACAGCGGGTTTTGCTTTTCATTCACTTCAGAAGTAAAGGGGGAGGGGAGCTCTTAATTTTTTATATTAAATCAGTAAATGGCAGAATAGTGCTTTTCTTTATTCTTTGCCTGCCTTCACACCCACTGCTGAGCATCTGTGCTGCTGATGTCACGCCAGAGTCAGGCTGAGGGCTGGGACGGGCCGTGCTGCTCGCAGCTGCGGGACACTCTCCGGGCACCGGGAGTGCCCGCCACGCTGCGCCCCGGGGCAGCCGAGCGCTGGGGGTGTCGGCTGGCCCTCTGCTGGGGGAGGCTCTGCTCCCTGCCCTGTGACTCCGGAGCCAGCCCCCTGCCCCTGCTGGGGGGTCTCTGGCTGCACGTTTCCCAGCTCCGGCCAAGGCCCCACTCTCCGGCGCAGGGTCCCAGTCCATCGTCTTCCACCTCTGTATTCTGACCCTGCCCGGTGCGTGGAGCTTGGCTTGTGGTCCTTCCCCCTGCGTCTAGCTGGGGAGAAGGCTGCAGTTCTTTGGCCTCCTTTGGGGAGTCCCAGGAGCTTCTAAGGCGACTGTGATATTTCTGAGGTGACTTTGTAGCAGCTACCAGCACCTGGGAACTTTCTGGCTTCCCTACCTGGGGTCTCCCTGACGGCATCTGAAGCAATGACTGTGCCCACTGCCCGCAAGTGAGCAGATGCTGGGGGCGGGCCTGGCTGGCCAGAGGAGAGGCGGGGCCTGGATTTGTGAAGATCTTTCGAATGTCCCCCCCTTTTCTCCAAACCGAGGCCGGGTGGAAGGTTTGAAATAGCCACCCACTGACAAGCGTTTTAACCCAGAGAAGGCAGTGGCTCTGGTCGTCCCGTATTTGGTGACAGCACTAGATGCGTGGCCCTGTTCGAGGGGCTCTGTAGTCCCTTGTCCTCAAGAAACACGATCTGTTTGAAGCGGTGAGCGCTGAATATATAAACCACTAAACACAAAGCAACAATGTGCACAGCACTTTCTTGTAAAAAAAAAAATTAACAGGGTAGGTGTGGTCACTGATCAGCTCTGAATCGGCCTTGCCTGTCCCTGTCATCGCCCTGTGCACTGAGGCAGGAGAGCCCCCTTACACTCGGTTATTGAGCCTGGTGTTGGTCTGAGGAAAGGCGGTGGGCGCAGTCGAGTGCAATTCAGGAGCTGGCTGGGCTGTCCATACCCACGTGGCCCGATCGTGCGGGTTTGGGGTGAAGGAGTATCTCTGCATGTTGCTTTGTCTCTGCCCGAGACCCCTATAGGATCAGCCAAATAGAATCTCTGCAGCCCTGCTGACTTTGAGCTGAGTCGTTCAACCCGAGCGTGAGCTCCCGCTGTGAGCCTCTCACCGGCAGTGCATGCCTCCCCCAGCATGCCACGCTCAGCGGCCAATGGTGTGCTGTGGCTTCCAACCCTCCTGCCGCGGAGCCAGGCGTAGGGGTGAAACGCTGGGCCTGCCCTGCCCGCCTGCCTTCTCTCTGGACACAGCACGTCCCTGGCCCACGTGCCTGCCCCTATGTCTAGTGAGTGAGCTCCCAAAGCAAAGGCCGATCTCTCCGAATGCCCAGGCCTGGGTGTCGTCCCCCCCACCCTCTACTCCTGGCCACCCCACCCACGTGGACCGGGCCAGGCTTCGTCCCAAACCCTCCTTGGGGCTGCCAGGGTGCATGCAGACACTGGGGTTTCACATTCTTGCATATCAGGGCCAAGATTCAAAAACACAGGGACAGTTTTGGGGTAGAAGATGTCAGATTATGTTCTGTTTGATTGAGGGGTGGACACATGTGAATTAAGTCTTAGCACAAGCATTCGCTGCTCGCTGATTCAGTGAAAACGGTGGCTTTCTCACAGACCACTTGGGAAATTCAAGGACAAGATCGCTTTCAGGGAGCCCGAGAAACTACCAGAGAAGCTGACACCCGTCAGCCCCAGAGGCAGCCGTGCACTTTTTTCAGACAATTGGATTGCTTTCCGTTTGTAAGCTCTGTAATGGCAAGTTCACCTGGAGTTTTCTTTTCCCGTAAACTTTTTCTTTCTGTTGCATAAGCATTTGGACAGAAGTCAAAACTGTGAATGAGATACTGAAATGCACTAAATTGTATTAAATTAAACTGGAGTTACTTGATACAATGAAGAAATGCATCCGATCTGCTTGTATTTATTGTCTCAGAACTGTACGTGGTGACAATCAAATGTTACTTGCCCAAATGCCAGGAAATTCACCTGGCTTCTTAATCGTAAAGACCGTCAGCAAGTCATGTACCATAAACCGGTCGTTAGACACGAAGACCGGCGGCAAGTACTGTCACCGGAAACCAACACCTCTCTGGAAAACCACACGCCGTCGACTCAAGTGCGTGTGACAGACGTCGGGGTCTTTTTCTGCCGGTTT